GGCACTCGAAGTTCCTGAAGGCATCGCGGACACTGCACGAAAATCCGCGCCATTGAGCTCTTGACTGAGTGGAGCGAATGACTGTGGGACCTGTAAACCACGGAAGGACTCTGACCCGGTTGGTGATTGGTTGGCGTTCATCGCCTGTTGACTGGTCCTAGACTGCAGGGCAATTGTGTCCTCAAGCTGATTGATCCTAAACCTCAATGCAACGGTTTGCAGCAGTTTGCAATTGGTGCTCCTTATGGAGACTTTCTACGACCTCTGCCTGTTCCCTCTGCCTTTTATTGGCTTGCTCGACAAAAGCCTTCATCTGATGGTTCTCCTGCCTAGCCAACCTCAAAGCTTCTTCCATTTGCTGGATTTGGGACTGGGCGATTTGGACCTGAACTAGGGCTTCATTTTGGATTTGACCTACTGCAACATTGGCTTGATGACTTACCAACTCTACCCTCTCTTGAGCTGTCCTTTGAACGTCTGCCAGCTACCTGCGAATTCCCTTGGACCATTGCAACCCTTTGGTTTGCCTCTCGGACTGCACTGTCGGCAAGAAGAGCTACTCTTTGGGCTTCTGATCTCACCCTGGCAATCTCTTGATGGGCCTCAGCAACAATGGATGGGTCCGCTGAGATATTCAACTGGTTCAGAGTTTGGTTTTGCACCTGGACAAAACTGGGTCTTGGTTGATCTTCTTCCATGGGGTCCGTACTAGATGAAACATCTGCAATTGGGGTACTTGCTGCTACTGCTACACCCTGCGATGCCGGCACGATTTCTCCTGCTGGGATCATTGTTTATAGTGACGGAACAACTTCTCCAAGTCTTCACTGCAGCCTGCCAAAAAGGGCCTAACCACCTCGGCTCGTTCGGCCGATGGCTTCCTCCTCAGCTTGATATGCACGCAATGAATCGTCGGATTGATGTGTTCCTGGGCTCCTGCAAACTCTGCGATCACACGGACGTTGTCGTCCACAATACAGATCGGAATCGAAAAGCCACGGGAAATCTTTCTGGCTGTCGCCAACTTCCCTGTTACCCCTTCCCTCTCGCGAGTCACGAACAATGCTTGGATCAAGTTCTCTTCAATGATCTCCTTTGTATCGTTGCAAGCTCTCAAGAGTCCCTCCAAATTCCTTGAAGATGCCTCAATGTGGCTCAATACAAAGATCAACACTGAATCCCTATTCCCAAAAACACGCTCTGCTGACTGCTTCACACGCCTCAAGAAACTCACGTTGTCTCCTGGTATCTTGTGCGACCACGATGCCGACTCGGAAACACCCCTGTCAAGCACCTGATGGTAATCGAGGAAAAGAATAAACTTGCGCTCAATACCACTTTCCGGCAACAATCCGTTGAAGTTCCGATACGATCTCAACTCCTCAAAGCTTTCGCCCGACCTTTCGTAGGCAAGAACTCCGTCCGGGAGCAAGAATGGATTCGGCCTCAACAATTGCTCTGGCGCCGCCTTCACCGGCAACGACTTCGACGATGTCGTCGACGCTGGAGATACGACAGGCGGATCCTTCGGCGGCGGCTTTGGCAAAACCTTTGCAAGACTCTTCGGAGTTGACGATGGGCGGATTACCGCAGACGGGCGAATCGACTCTCGGACCGGTTCCAAGTTCTCTGACGACGCCGCTTCCGTCTGAAGATCTGTACCCTCACGCTCGTCTCCAAGATCTGTTGTCCTGCGCTGCGGAACACCTTTTGACGATGTCGCAAGTCTCACCTTCGGCTTCGCTTGCACCGGCAATGAAACAATCTGAGATGCCTCAACTGCTGCCTTCACTGGCACCGAAATAACCTGTGTTGTAACCACTGGAGCTTTCGGAGACGCCGGCTTCGCCTTCTGGGCAGGCGGTTCAAGAACGGTTGAAGATTCTGCAGCCTCCTCCTCGGACTCAGTCTCTCCCCACTCCCGACCACCTTGAAGAACAGATTCAACAATTGTAAATCCCCAACTCCGGGCGTACTCGTGTCCACCGGGAAGAACAAAAGGATACTTGTTCGAATACAGCCCTTGGGCGATCCCTTCCTGCAGATGTCGCAGCTTCTGGCTGTACCCGCGCCGACCGCCGCGAGGGGCTGGAATACAACGCCAAAGAGTGTCGCCGATTACTGCTTCCGGCTCAACACTCGGATCAATGTACGATGTAATGGCTGCGGGCACAGCCGTAGGCTGGGGAGCCTACGGCTGATAACCACAACGCGAGATTGAACGCCCCGGGCGCACCTTTTCTCGCTTGAGCCAAATGTCGAGTTGCAAGTCTGGACGATCCGAACCCTTAAGGTTTCTTGGATGATTCCCCTGCAATTGAGGGTTTCAGTCCTGCTTTGCATTAGTGATACTAGGCTTGCATTCTAGGGTTACCGAACGGTGGTATACTTCTTCTATACAACTATATATATATAATATATATTATATATATATGTGATTGTATATGGCACTCCTTGTCCCACACCAAAGCAAAACCTCAAAAACAAGTCATGTCTGTGATTCAATTTCGACGAAGGCACCCACTGGTGTGACTTCGTAGTAAGTCATGTCGAATGCATCAGCATCGTCGCCAGTTATCAAATCACTGCTGTCACTGGTTTCATTGGTGTCACTGGATGACATGTTTGGATCACTTGAATCGTCGGAGGAATTCGAGTCTGAGGTCGTTGTAGTCGTGGTTGGTGCTATTGGTCTCGAAAAGTACCGAATCCTCGGCATGGAACTGATGCATTACTACTAGGAGCAAAGACGCTACTAGGGGCTCCTGGCCTTACTACTAGGAGCAAAGATGCTACTAGGGGCTCCTGGCATCGCTACTTGGAGCAAGGGGGCTCCTGGCCTTACTACTAGGAGCAAAGATGCTACTAGGGGCTCCTGGCATCGCTACTAGGAGCAAGGACGCTACTAGGGGCTCCTGGCCTTACTACTAGGAGCAAAGATGCTACTAGGGGCTCCTGGCTTCCAAATGTGCATTGGTGGAGTGGTCAAACAAAGACGTGGCCCGCGTGTCTCGATTGCAGCGCTCATGCACTGCATGTGTTATCGTGTTGCGGTCAGCATGTCTATGAGAGAGAGGTGTTTTCTTGCCTATCCATGGAAATCTCATGAAGGTGCCAAACTATGTTCCACTACAACATAGCAATGTGATGCAATATGTGGCACACGAACATGGAGATGAATCGCAGTTGAGCCTCCACACCCTCCCAGCACCTGTGGCACTATTCGCTAAGTACACCACATAGCCCTCCAGGGGCGATTCCTTGGTTTTTGCTCCGTTCGGCTCCACAGGTTCTTTTAAGCTATTAGAAACAAGTGCCACGCTAGTAGTAACAGGCGCCTTACTAGTAGTAACAAGAAGCTATTAGAAACAAGAAACAATTAAGAGAGTGACAAAGGTGTTTGAGTCCCTTCAACAAGGCCTCCTCAAAAAGGGCCTTCCTAAAGGAACCCGAACACCTTCTGTTTTACTCTGCTCCCCAACCAGTGAAGTGAGGCCGGCCCAAAATGGTCCAGAGGCTGTGATTTTATGACTCGAACAATACTCAGGATGAGGCTATGATATGACTATGACATGTTATGACCACCATCCAAACACAGTCTGTCTCAGGCTATGACCACTGGCGGGCTCCAGCTGAGATTTCCTCCCAAATCATCCTCAGCTGGACTCTGGCAAAGAATGGCACATTGGCGGAGCGACTGAAAATGGGGTGAAACACATTGTCGATGCATTCATCACGCTTCACAAAGAACATGAAGACGTTCTGGGCAAATTGAAGACTTGTCGTAAAGTGTTTTGGTGTCTTTTGCATTTCCAAGCGAAGCTGTGACATTTATCATGTCTCTTTGCATGTCTTGGTCTCCAGATTCAAGTCTTGTCCAATGAAGTTCAGCGCTGATGCACTCGCATCCACATCATATATCCTGCGAGCTGGCAGGAATTAAGGTGACCAAGATCATGAGGAAACACCACAGACTTTAGGAAGTTGCTTAGATGTCTGCGGGATAAGCCTTCGAAGAAAGCCAAAGGTGACTCTTGATCAGTCTCCTGTGCGCTGTTGGTGTGTTAGCCTCCTGTAAGGATGACCTTCAAACAAATGTCAGTTGCAGCTGACATGAAGTCATGAAGTCAAGTTCTGCCGGGCCTAGAGTAGACCAAAAAGTGAGTCCAAGTAGTGATCGAGGTTTCAGCCGCTATAGTCCTGGGTGCATCACAAATGGCCAAAGACCAAGAGGAACTGAACGGGAACTTAAGAGGAACTGAAAGAGCAATGGAATTGAATCATGTAAAGACTTCAAACTCGGGTCATCAAGGTCGCGCCCAAGCAACACACCCCAAAAACCATATGCATTATCATGGACCAGTTATGCACCCCCAATGTGCAGGCAAATGACCAGTTGTTGGTCATCACAGGGACAGTGCCCAACTTGAATCGGCACCTGGCATGCCACGCAGGTGCTATTGCCCAATACAAAGCAGCTGCCAAAGACCAAGACAATGGCAAAAATGCATTGTCTCCACATTGGACGCATCGCAGCTGTATTTGTTGCATTGGCACACTGATTCTCAAATGCTTGTTTTCCAACTCATGTGAAGGCATACCACAAAAGAGTGCTGTTGGAATCCTTGGATGAACAGCTTGACGCAGCAGCGCTTAACAAGTGTTGGTGTCAAGACCTAAACAAGTGTTGGTGTCAAGACCTAAAAAGGGATTTGGCTTTACAAGCGCTGATCAAGCATCAATTGCGACAGTGCCGACATCACTGCCATTGCCTGGCCCAGTGTATCACTCCAAAACAATAGATATATATATACATATATATATATATGTGTGTGTGTGTGTTTTAAAACAATATGTTGTTTTATCGTTGCCTTCAGCATACAATCCGAAGCTGAGTCAACTGATTGCTTTAATACAACTTCATAGAGCACAGGAAACAAGCTCTGCCGAAGACTCTCGCTTGTGATCTGGGATTCTAACTGAAGACGTATGGGACCACACTAGCCAATGTAGCCTGGCTGAAGCTGCGGCCGCAGTGTGGCCAAGGCAACAAAGCGATTCAGCAAAGCGTCTTGTCGAGGTATTGACGGAGAGTCTTCGTGCAGATCAAGTGCACCAGCCTCGTCACTCGAATCCCCAAAGCTGTCTACACAGGGTTCGGCTTCTGCCACAACTTTTGCTATGTAGACGCTGTAGTTCTCGACCAAACCTCGGCAAACATGCAAGGAAGCCCTTGGCAAAGCATCTTCACAAATGCCAACAATAAAATGAAATGGATGAAATGAAATGATACTCGAAGTGCAGCTTTTAAAAATGAAATGAGCAACTGTCATCTACAGGGTCTTGCCACAGCAGGTCTCCACCAAGTTCCCCCAAGTCCAAATCCAGGTCTGGAAAGTGCAGCTCCACAACCGGGGCAGACCTAGGATCACAAGGTCAAATCAGCCGTGGCTAAACAGTTTAACCGGATCTCTTGCCTTCCGGTACCCGGTAGACTTTGTGAATACTGTTTGTTGTGAGATGTTGTGAGATGTCGCCATTGTTCTTGGGGCCCAGCGTGTCGTTGAACAGCAAAGTCACTGGGGTAGTCTGCTCTGCTAAAGAAGACCTGCACTGAAACGTTGGCGACTTGTGCAGAGATAGCATGCTTGCTTCACGCTGGCCTTGACTTACTCATAGTTACAAAAATATTCTGCCATACTCATCGCTATTAGGTTGGAGCGATGGTTGGAGATTCACATCGTTACCCTAGGTAAGGGACAAAATGCGTGTTGCCTCGTGTAGACAGCAAGGTGCGTGAAGTCGTCGATCCAAGTATCTGCGGCAATCGCGGTGCTGTGGACCTCAAGAGTGTCTTCAATGCATAAATCGAGGAATTTCACTTCCCTGCTTCAGCTTCGTCTTTCTTGGCATGGCTCCATCCCACTCTAGACTCTGAACCCATGTGCCTTTGCCTTTGCTTGTTTCCAATTTGTTTGCTGTATCCTTCAGTCCGTCGTTCACTGGAACAACAGCGGTTTAGAACAAACATGGTACCAGTACTTGAAACCTCTAGAAGACCCAGCTTGGCGCCAAGATGCTGTCAACGATCCACCAAGCTGCTGTACAACCTGAGTGGCATTTGAGGCCTCTAGCGTTAACTGCCTTGTTTGGCTTGGTTGATGCCTTCAGTGTCTTCAAACTCACAAGAACTGCTGCACATCTGGAAAGTTTGGGCTTGACTATACTGGAGTGGAGCAGTGAGAAGACTAAGGGGGACCCGTCTGAGTGATGGCGAGCAGCAGTGGGATTGCTATATGTCAGCTTCACTTGGTATGTTTCGACCTCAGTGACTCCGTGCAAAAGGCAAATCACAAGAAACATCAAGGAACTCAGCCAGGGAAACATCAACAAAACACAATATGGTAGTTACATATGTGATTATACACACGGTGTTATTTGTCTGGCAATGTTCTAGTACAAAATGGATTGAATCCTCCACGCTGTTTACCATAGTATAAATCATTATGTCCAAGAGCAAACAAGGGATGGTGCCTTCAGTCTGAGCTCATCCAAGAAGCATACGTCACATCTGAAGGAGGCTGAAACAAAAAGACTCCACCAATTTCATACTCATCCAGGTCCAAATCAATGAACACGAGTCCAGATGCACTGGATGATGTATCCTCAGTGACAGTTCTTTTTAGCAAAGCGATCGTTTCTAAAGGCTGTTGATATGGTTTTCCATTATTGAGTACAGAGCATCACATTTGGCAACTGTTGTCCCAAGGAACTGCTATCAGCGCCGCGGCTGGGACTGATTGGTCAGCGAAGAAGGTTCGAGCCTTATCTGGGCAGCGCGAGACGAGCTCCGTGTTTGGTCAAGGTTCCAGGGCTCCCCACATAGACAAAGACGTGAGTAAAATTGGACAAGTCTGTGTCCTGGTCCCAACAAATCGATAAGCACTGGCGTCTGGACCATGTCAATGCCAATCGCCAGCTTGACTAACAAAGGCATGTTCATGGCCTATGTTACCTCAAGAGTAATTACAAAAGAATACGGAGTACATGCTTAGGACTCTGGTGACTCTGGTGCCAAGAACAAGAGCTGCGCAAAGCATGTCAGGACTGCAGCTGCCAAGCTGTAGCTGGTCAGCAGGCTGGGAGGATCTCCAGAGGTTGCGTTGATCTGCTCGATGAACCGACCTTTGCTATCCCCCATTTTTTGAGCAACAAGAAGCTATTAGGAACAAGTGCATCGCTAGTAGTAACCAGTGCATCGCTTCTAGTAACAAGTGCCTTACTAGTAGTAACAAGTCTCAAAATGTGGGTGTCTCAATTGCCAGTGCCTGAACTCAGTCTTCTTGCCAGAGGCTCATTTGGTTAAGTTGGAGGTAAAAACATGCAGAGAACTTAGGCAACAATATGTTTCACAACCGGCTGGGTCCGACCTCGTACATAGCGCAGAGTGGTGATGGTCTGAAGAACCTGGCACAGCCCTTTTTGTAACTAGTAGCTTCTGGCTACTAGTAGCGATGCCCCTGCTACTACTAGCTTCTTGCTACTAGTAGTAGTGCACTTGTTACTACTAGCGATGCACTTGTTACTAGCATTGAAATTTGTACTGTGAAAGGAAGGTGCCAAAGGTCGCAAACACGGTTGAAGTGACTGCACGTAAGCATGGTTGAATCGTGCGAAAGCATACAAGGCTACACAAATGTCATAAGCTCCAACAGCCGCTGGAACCTATGAATGCCCCATTAGAGAGGCTGGTTGGAACTCCTTTTCTCTGCAATTCACTACTAGTAACAAGGGCATGGCTACTAGTAACAAGGGCATTACTATTAGTAGCAAGAACTAGTAGTAGCACGGGCATCGCTACTAGTAACAAGGGCATTACTATTAGTAGCAAGAACCTACTAGCAGCAGGGGCATCGCTACTAATAACAAGGGCATTACTATTAGTAGCAAAAAGATACTAGCGGCAGCCGCAGGGGCATCGCTACTAGTGACAAGTGCATTACTATTAGTAGCAAGAAGCCACTAGCAGCAGGGGCATCGCTACTAGTAACAAGTGAACTACTATTAGTAGAAAGAAACAACTAGCAGCAGGGGCATC